TGTTTACTTAATTGTTCTGTCTCATGGATCAAGAAATGTTTCTCAAGAATTGTTCTTTCTCATGCTTTCAAGAAAATACATATATATCTTGAGAGCCAGGACCTTGCCTAGCCTGTTCATTACTCTGTCACAGGATCCAATACTGTCCCTGGTGCATAGCTGGTGATCAATTTATTGTTTTTCACAAATGAGTGAGGGTGACAGAACTCAGGTACAGCACTCCTAATTCTAGTCTCTCGTTGCCCATTTCACTTCGCAGTCAAAAGGAAAGCAATGAGATTTGGAATTGCTAAGTTTCTCTGACATTCTCCACTGTGTCTTGCATCTGACATCATATGAATTCAAGCGTGGATTTACTAAGGCCTCTTTTGACATCTGACAAAAAACTGTTGACCTTTGTGGAAAAAAACCTCTCATCTTTCATCTGTTCTCTATGTTATTGCCAGAGTGATACTTTTTAAATCAAGCTTACTTAAAATCCATCAGAACTTATGCATCTGCATAATTTTAAGGATCATGTCCAAATTCCTTATTATGACATATGAGAAAGCTCATTAATTTATCTTTCTAATCATAGATATTAATTTGTTATATTCACACTTCTATGTGAGCATGTGTACCTACACACTAAACAAACACACATAAACTTCCACACACATACTTGCCAACTCTCACACTAATCATTGTGAATTTCTTGTTTATTGAAGGGAAGGTGTCTGGCTGTTTTATGTGATCTTCCCTCTGACTAGTGAGATCTTCTGCACTTCCTTAATTAACGAATGCCTACTTGGCTTTGAAGCCTCATTTCTTCAGAAAGTTGTCCTTCACCTCAGTCTTATCTAGGTACCTCTGATAGCACCCAATTCATAAATTGTTTTATCACAGAATATGTCATATGATTCTATAACTGTTTATATAAATTACTACCTCATTCAATAGAATGTGGATTTCTTGAAGAAGGATTTGTGTTATTTTTAGCACAGTGTTCTGTCCAGAATAGGTTCTCTAGAAATATGCGATGAAAAATAGGAGAAAAAAAGGAATAAGCTCTAATTCTAAAGCAACCCCAGATGTGAGAATAATCTGGCAAACTGCCCTTCAGAGGTATACTCACTTACTAGCTGCATTTTATAACTTTAGTGGATAGGACCAACATCATTCCCTGGTGATGTCAATATGGCCCCTTCATCAGTCTGAAAATCCTCTGGCACTGAAAACACATAAAGTCTGGAAGTTGTTTATGAAACTATGAAGGTGAGTCAATAGACTCTGTTCCAAGTTGGCAATAAGGGACGTCGTCCTAAACATCTAACGTGCCATAATTCACATTGAGCTTCTCATTAATTTAAATGTTAATGTAAATTTAAAACATGTTGTATTGATTTGGAACTATTTTTATATGAATATTGCATAACTGAGCTAACAGCAGAGTCCAAATGGACATTTCTTCACATTAACTTATGATAATTAAAAAAAAGTGAACTTTCTCCTTTTTTGTCATGTAAAATCATTTGTTTTAGTTACAAGGTTTAGCTATGAGAAGCTATGAGAATTTCTGCCTTTGAGTGCAATTACTTTAGGTCATTCTGAGTAAAAAGAGCCATTTCCAAGTCTGTTATTTTAGTGTATTGAATATTTAATTTTAAATATGTATAGAGATTTGTGTCTTTTTCATTTCACTGGTGAGTAAAATAAAGTTACCATGTCAATGCTGACTTGAGTGTCTTTTGCTAGTACTTCAGCCATAATCTCTTTTTATTGAGATTTATATATCTTCATTTAAAGGGAAAATATAATTTACAAAAGATATTCCATTATGTTAGTCCCACATAAAATAAATTATAATGATGGTGGGGATGCTATCAGCATCCAGGTATTGTCAATACCTGTACATCTTTGTATATGCTTACTCTGGGACAGATCCTGATGCAAAGTACTCTCTAGAAATGTCCTCATTTAATCCCAAAGCAGTATAGAAAGGATGGACCTCTCATTATCCTGTTTCATAAATTAGAACATTGACCTGTAGAAAGATTAAGCCACTTTTCTAAAAGTTCTGCAACCAGGAAGTGGTGCTGCTGACCTCAGGTTGGTCTGACTCCAAGGTCTTCTATAACTTAAGCTCCCTGAGTCTTAAACTGCACAATGTGATAGACAAACTGAAGCCTAGAGAAGAGAATTTCTTGGCTGAGTGTGGTGGCTCACACCTGTAATCTGAGCACTTTGAGAAGCTGAGGCAGGTGGATCACCTGAGGTCAGGAGTTCAAGACCAGCCTGGCCAACATGGTGAAACCCTGTCTCTACTAAAAATACAAAAATTAACCAGGCATGGTGGCATGTTCCTGTAATTCCAGCTACTTCAGAGGTTGAGGCAGGAGAATCCCTTGAATCCAGCAGGCGGAGGTTGCAGTGAGCTGAGATCGCCCTTCAGCCTGGGTGACAGATCGAGACTCTGTCTCAAAAAAAAAAAAAAAAAAAGTGAATTTATTTTTAAAAACATGCAATATAAACATACAATTGAGGTTTCAATGCTGTCATTGAGAAGCTGGGTAGATGAATGAAATCCTAAAACCTGCTTTCTTGTTTATGAGCATATTGTATCTTATTCTCTTCGCCTGTGCAGTATAATAATATGTAGCTAATTGATTGGTGAGTCCCTTCCAGCCCCACATTGAATGAATCTGTATAATATGATTCACTTTGTTCTAATCAACAAACCCCTGCCTTGTTCTCTTCACAACCACCTGTCATAGTACTTCTTATCTGATGCTTTTTGTTCCTGCAGACAGCCCCACCTAACTCAGTTCTCTGTACTAAGAATTCTGGTATAAAAAAATTTATTCGAAACTTGTTAAATACCAAGCAGAAAGCTCAGGCTAAAATATGGAAGAGGGATCATTTTGTCCCCCTGAACATATAATTGAAATGGAATGCAAAAATCAGATTCCTGAGAAATTAGACAAAGCCTTCAGATATGAAAAGATGAATATTAACTGAGGCATTCAGAGGCTAAGGCACAATAGGTCTGATAGATCTACTTAAGTTGAATATGTTCTGGCCCAGGAGTAACCATCAAGTTTTGTAGTGCTAGGATACATAGCATAGTTCATAGTAAGAAAAACTATAGGCTTGGAAATTAAATATACTTGCCAGTTCTGCCACTTATCTTTTTCTGGGTTAAACTAAGATGTTTTACTGATTTAAACATTCTTACCTCTGTTTCTTAATCTGTAAAATGAGAATTATAATCCAAATTTTTATACAGAAATTATGAAGCTTAATTTGTAAAGTAATGCATTAGTCCAGTGCATTAGAAGTATAATGCAAGCTTAAATTAGTTTCCTTTATTCTAATAATAGTAGCAAACAAATTTGATATGCCAGTTTTAAAATTATCTTTGCAAGTAGTAATTACAGCTATCACTCAGCCTTCAGTTTTAGGAAATGTATTGTTTTCGCAAGACAAAAACATATGAACACCAATTAAATATGAATATTTCAACCAAAAATACCTTTTTCCTTCGAAGACATGTGAGGGGGAAAAAAATCATGGTATCATGCTAAATTCTGTAAACTATCTTACACGTTGTCGGTGGTTTCCCCAGTCCCTTCAGAATTTCAACTTCTTAACATCAGGATAGCTGAAAGATGGACAGTTGACCTACTGCTTATTAGGCTCCAAGGGGTTATTAATATTCTGAATTAAAAATAAAATTGTACTAACCTCCATCAGGTAGATAATTTTTTTCTAATAATACATAAATCTCAAATTCATTGATTACAATCACCTTTGTATTACTTACCTATAAATAACTCATGTTCAGCAGAGAGAGAAGCTAATGATTGGTATACATAAGTTTATACAAATTCAGGCTTTAAGCATGAGAGTTTTGCTTCCATAAAATCTTTCTCCCTATATCAAAACATATCCTTAGAAAAAAAATTATCTCTGAATTTGAAAGATGTAAGGGGCCTTAGTGGCAATTTTGTACAAAGCTTTTTGTTTTACATGTGGAGCAATTAAGACTCAGTAAGTTTTGGATTCTTGCCCAAAATTGTCTGGCTAATTATGGTAGGGTTATGGACTGAATCAAGTTCTAATTCTCAATCCAATGTCTATATTTACTTATATTATTTGATGCTATATCAAACTGAGAAATCCGTAAATTACAGTGTATATCTTCTAGTTCTTTAATGTCAGTTTCAACTATTAGAGTTGAAATAAACTGATAATTATCTGTATTGTTTTTAGCTCATGGCCAGAGGGAAGAAGTAAGAGCAGGAGGCCTTTTAAATTTATGTACAAAAAACGGTTTTTGGATAAAAATCTTCCCTAGTGAAATTCATATAACACATTTCAATAATAAAATGCAATGAAAATTAACAAAAAAAATGAAAGACTAATAAATCTAGAGTTGGATAAACTAAATCCAATAGATATATATGTACATATTTATATACTGTATATATATATAATACATATACATATATACATATACATATTTGCTACAGTTTACCAATGTCTTGATTCGTTACTCATATGACACACAAACCTATGAAAGACATTCTGTGATTTTTTTTTTTTTTTTTTTGAGGCGGAGTCTTGCTCTGTTGCCCAAGCTAGAATGCAGTGGTGCAACCTCGGCTCACTGCAACCTCCACTTCCCAGGTTCAAGTGATTCTCCTGCCTCAGCCTCCCAAGTAGCTGAGATTACAGGCGCACACCAACACACTCGACTAATTTTTGTAATTTTAGTAGAGATGGGGTTTCACCATATTGGCCAGGCTGGTCTCAAACTCCTGACCTTGTGATCCACCTGCCTTGGCCTCCCAATATGCTAAGATTACAGGCATGAGCCACCATGCCTGGCCAACATTTTGTGATTTTAAATTACTAAATTATATTGAGGGAATGTAACCAGCAGGAATGTCTAACCTTAAATTTGTTTTCATTAGTATAGCATGATTTTAAAATATGATATTTATGTTATCATCCTGCAGGTATAAAGGAGTATATGCAGAAATCTGGAGCGCTAATTAAACTTCTTTGGGTTTTCTCAGTAAGATCAACACCTGTTGGAAAAATTTTGCTAAGGTAAGTTCCAAATACCACTAATCTATTCTTGAGGGGCTTCTGTTCTTGCTGCTCTAGTTCAGAACAAAGTGAGGTTCACTCAGTTAAAAAAAATAAACAAATAGAAAACCAGACATTGCTTTTATTAATGATGCAGTTAATATTTGGGGCTAACATTTCAGTGTGTGTGGCAAAAATGAGCTTCCTAACATTTAACTCCAGCATTAGATAGATTTACCCATCCAGGCCCAAGAAGTGCTTGGCAACTCCAGGTTCTCCCAACATGGCAACCTGCCCTGTGAATTTTTTTTTAATTTTAATTTTTATTTTTATTGCATTTTAGGTTTGGGGGTACATGTGAAGAACATGTGAGATTGTTGCAAAGGTTCACACATGGCAGTGTGGGTTGCTGCCTTCCTCCCCATCACCTATATCTGGCATTTCTCCCCATATTATCCTTCCCCAACTCCCCAACCACCATTGTCCCTCCCCTATTTCCACCCTACAGACCCCAGTGTGTGATGATCCCCTCCCTGTGTCCATGTGTTCTCATTGTTCAACACCCGCCTATGGATGAGAACGTGAGGTGTTTGATTTTCTGTTCTTGTGTCAGTTTGCTGAGAATGATGGTTTTCAGGTTCATCCATGTCCCTACAAAGACATGAACTCATCATTTTTTATGGACACATAGTATTCCATGGTGTATATGTGCCACATTTTCCATGTCCAGTCTATTGATGGGCATTTGGGTTGGTTCCAAGTCTTTGCTATTGTAAACAGTGCCGCAGTGATCATGCCTGTGCATGTGTCCTTATAATAGAATGATTTGTAATACTTTGGATATATACCCAGTAATGGGATTGCTGGGTCAAATGGAATTTCTATTTCTAGGTCCTTGAGGAATTGCCACACTGTCTTCCACAATGGTTGAACTAATTTACACTCCCACCAACAGTGTAAAAGTGTTCCTATTTCTCCACATCCTCTCCAGCATCTGTTGTCTCCAGATTTTTTAATGATGCCATTCTAACTGGCGTGAGATGGTATCTCAATGTAGTTTTGATTTGCATTTCTCTTACCCTGTGAAATTTCTAGTGTGGAGTAGCACACCTGAGTATATCTTCCTGCAGGGAGCCCACTGTGAACATGAAGGGGAAGAGAGTGGGTTAAACTGTAATTGACAAAATCTTGCTTTGAGGTTCACCAATCAAATATGCAACTCCACTGACCAAGAAGAAGAGAGAGGAAAGGGGATAAAGAGAGGCCTGTGGAGCTGCTATAATGGACTTATCTTCACAGGGAAGGAAAAAAATAGAAATGGAGAATGAGTATTTTTTTTTTCTGTTACCATTGAAGAATCGGAGAGACCTACCAAAAAGGAAGAAGGCTCTTTTAGAGATTGCATCAGGATTTTCTTAATCTAGCAACACATAAGGTAACTTCTCCTAGATAATGGAGGCAGATGCAGTACTGAGATTTTCTGTGTTTAAGAAGAAATATTCTAGGCAAGATTTTTCCCAACTTCCTATTAGAATTCAGGTATTTTCAGAAGCACAGTTGACATGTTGTCTGTGCTATCATAGAGCAGATCATGACTAGATAGTAGACCACTACCATTTATGTTTTTGCTTACTTTTTTTTTAAAAAAAACCTACTACAGAGGGTAATTTTCCATTTTTGAGGCATACTGTTATTCTGAATAGAGCAGGTGGAGGGAACAGTTAGGTAGTAAATGAACTTAGCTAACTCCTCAGTGTATATGTCTCAACAGATATTTGAAACTATTATTTAATAAACAACCTGTGTACTTGGATTTATTTATTGGTAAAAATGAAACCAAGGAAATATGATGTATTGAAAATATAAAAAATGAATCATAAGCTTGAAGAAAGTAAAATAATAGACTTGGTGCAAAACTATGAACCAAGCCAAGTATCTGTAGAAGTTTGCAGAACGGACTTAATGTTCTCTATTAGATGCTGCCTCTGTAATGAATGAACCCTGCTCCTTTCATATCTGTGTTTCATCATCTAAGATTGAAGGTCATTTAAAAACAATCTTGGTTTATGTTGATCATTTGATTTCATCAAATTTTGATGGATTGTCCTCTTGACTAGGCTGGAGCAGTAAAGGCAAAATAATAATAATTATCATTATGAATTGACCATTGTGGCTTCTACAGAGAAAGAACAAGCATGCAGATTGACCACACCACTATAAATACAAATCACGAGGAATAATTAGTCATTGAAAATAAAATGGGGCTACTATCTGGAAGGTGATATCTCTACTTGATATTATTACTTTGTGATAACTTTAATGAGTATAGTGACATTTGGAAAATTGACTATTATCAATGTTCTCAGGTGTCCTTCAAGAATACAAAGGTCTACTAGACTGATCAATATTTGACACTCAAAACTTATCTTCTCAAAGCTAATCTAATATGTAAGCCTAAATGCATTGTTAAATATATAAAGGTCCTGATGATGCCTGTGTTCATTTTGAAAGGAAGAGACTGCTCCTTGCTACCAGGTTGCTGCTACTGCAGAAGATGTGGACTCCTGCTATTTAAAAGAGGAGCCTGGTTTCTCATATCTTTCCCCTTCAAGTATGGAAAAGGAATACTTTAGATTTAAGATAAACTGCTACGTACCTTTAAACAAAAAAAAAAAATAGCATAGTGTTGTAACTTGGTAATGAGTGGCAAAAACCATGCTTGAACTAAGAAAACCATTAAAAAAGTAAAATTCATATAGTAATTGAGAAGGTGATCTCAGAAAAGAAACATGTAGGGTGGACCAAGGGATATGCAGAGAGGCGTTTCAGTATCTAGATAAAAGACATAAAAGGGCATGGGTTTCAGGAAGTATAATAAAAAATGCATGCATTAAGGAGCTTGCCTGCATGGCTACAATTGTCAGGAAGGATGGATTGGTGAAAAATAGGACAGATATGTAATCTACTGTCAGCTCTAGAATTTCAAACTAGAGCATCCTTCTGCTAACATTTCAGTCTGGATACTAAGTTATACTTAGATCCTGGGGAAAATACAACCCATTATGCAAAGGGAAATCTCCTAGCCCTGGAAAATTAAAATACTGTGCTGAAATAAGAATGAGGAACAATAAGGAAATGGAACGACTAGGACTGATGTGAATGAGCCAAATCCAAGAATCTTTTGTAAAACAACAATCTTTAATAAGGGATAGAGTGGTCCTAAGTCAGTAGGTTGTCCTGCTCTTAAAAAAACAAATACAAATGCTAATTTAGGGTCTTAACTGAAGACCCAGAATTTCCCCAGTTTAAGTTCAATCAAAGGTGTTTGCATCATTGATTTTTAGTAAATGTTAGATGAATAAATGATTAAATGGTTAGATTCATTTTGAATGTAAGAGATTATTTTCCAATATATACATTTGCTCATCAAATTTAGAATGAATAAATCCCAATTTTCTCTCTTTTCTCCATATTCCCACAGCCTTTATAATGTCTTTTCTTTAGCATATTAGGAAACTAATTTTTTGAAAAAAAAAACCTGGTAACTTAAGAGAAAGCTATACAGATCCCCAATAGGTCTATCCTAAAGAGTTTATCTCAGAAGTTCAAGGCTATCTGGTTTTCTGGCACCAATAAATGACAGCATAATCAAATCATGTCGTAGTGAAAGCATTCTAAATTGAATTTTTCCAAGAGATTTATGAAGCTTCTAATGATATTTACAGTAATGCATATGATAAATAAATGCATAACAAGTTCTATAGGATGTTTGGATATTCAGAGAAATTTTTCAAGAACGCTTTGTGAAAATTTATTAAACTCCTAAAGAAGATCAGAAAATACTCTAGTGACTGTTTCTTTTGCCGTGCAGAAGCTGTGCAGTTTGATTAGGTCCCATTTGTCTATTTTGGCTTTTGTTGCCAATGCTTTTGGTGTTTTGGTCATGAAGTCTTTGCCTACTCCTATGTCCAGAAAATACAACGATTCATTTGATTAACTGTCATAACTTTTCATTTTCTGTTGCCTGTAAGCATTGTCATGCAGATTTTTGTCCTATCTGAATTTATGCTAATAGGATTTGTCCATATCCCTACTGATGTCTTCCTTTTGCTAGTAGAGGGACTGAGAATTATTTTCTTCCAAAAGGTCATTAACAGACTAGACAGAGCAATAGGTTGGAACAAGTAAAGTTCCAAATAGCCTTATCATACTTCTGATTCATTCACAAAAAGTAGACATCTACATGAGTAACTTATGGTGGCTGTTACTTTATGATTGACATTTTTATTTGGCAACAAATAGAGTTCTACTTATTTCTGAAACATATCTATAAATTGGACTCCCCCAGTGTCTATAACGAGTTGCCATAATTTCAAGTGAAACAATATTATTGTCTCCAATCTAAAGAGAACTGAAAGAAGATTTACTATTATCACATCTGTGGCAATTTTTTTGATAAAAAAATACATAGACTTTTTCCAGTTTGGGTTGTCTCTGAAATGTGGCTATAGTGGTACTGGCTAAAATAATTATTAGATCTAATTCATAGAGTTCTTGGTAATAGAACAAACGTGCCCACATTCCCATTATTCTGTCCTGGTTAACAAATCTGTACACCATAAATCTGATGTAGCCATACTCCTCAGGGAGACTGTAAGCTCTATGGGATGCCTCCTCATTGCTCTTTAAATTTTAAACTAAGTTAAAACATACTCTAGTGTTAAGAGTTTAGAGAAAAAGCGTTTTTATAAACTGCTGTTCAGAGTATAATTTAGTATAACCCTTTCAGAGACCTATATGGCATGTGATTCAAAAGTCTTTAAAATGTGCCACTTCCTTTTCTAAGATTGTAAATAAATCAGTGGACAAATGAAGATATATGTACAGGCATGATCATTAGAGTATTATAAGCAGTTGCAATATATTGGAAACAACTTTAAAAACTAAAGAGTGTGTTATGTGGTTTGATATAATGAAACACTATGCAGTCACTCACAATGCTGCTGCTGCTCTGAATGTAT